GTGGGTGTGTGGGTGTGAGTGTGGTGTGGGTGTGGGTGTGAGTGTGGGTTGTGGTGTGGGTGTGGGTGTGTGGGTGTGGGTGTGGGTGTGGGTGTGGGTGTGAGGTGTGGGTGTGGGGTGTGGGTGTGGGTGTGTGGGTGTGGGCGTGGGTGTGGGTGCGGGTGCGGGTGTGGATGTGAGTGTCGGTGGTGTGGACGTGGGGTGTAGATAAAGGGAGCGACACAGAGGGGTGCGGGTGTGGATGTGGGTGTGAGTGTGGGTGTGCATAAAGAGAGGAGCAACACCCACACCCACACCCTAGCCACACGCACACGCACACCCACTCCCACACCCACACCCCACCCCCACCCCCACCCCACCCCACCCCCCCCCACCCCCACCCACCCACCCACACCCACACCCACACCCACACACCCACCCACACCCTCAAGTTATTTTCGATGATATTTTGATTTTTTTTTATGTAGATCAATTCGTTATGCTAGAAACTTTTATTTCAATTTAGTCTGTGCTACTTATTAAAGAACAGCTTGTTACAAAGAATTTATTTATCAGTGGAAGGGTGGGTGTAAGTGTGGGTGTGAGTGTGGGGTGTGGGTGTGGGGTGTGGGTGTGGGTGTGGGTGTGAGTGGGTGGGATGTGGGTGTCGGTGTCGGTGTGGGTGGATGTGGGTGTGGGTGTTGGCGTGGGTGTGGGTGTGGGTCTGTGGGGTGTGGGTGTGGGTGTGGGTGTGGGTGTGGGTGCGTGGGGTGCGGGTGTGGATGTGGGTGTGAGTGTGGGTGTGCATAAAGAGAGGAGCAACACCCACACCCACACCCTAGCCACACGCACACGCACACCCACTCCCACACCCACACCCCACCCACACCCACACCCACTCACACACCCACACCCACACCCCACACACCCACGCCCACACCGACACCCTTGACAATAATAATACTCATATTTCGAACGATGGCACGAGCATATTAAATGCTTATGTCAGAGAAGCAATCCCATGTTGCTTTTACGACGTTTTCTTTCTTCTATAAAGATTACTTTTTCGCAGCAAAATTAAGTGCTTAAGAAAGTAGTGGAACAATATCGAATTTCTATTTTTCGAAAGATCACCTTGTGCGCTTCTTCACTTTCAGCGAATGCGAAAAATATTGTCTTTTCATTAGATATAAAGACGGTTGCCGCCGCTATTCTGTCTCATTTCAACGCAAGCAATGGTTTCAACAGTAATTCGTTGTTTCGTATTCGCTCTATTCAGGTAATTCTAAAATCTATTTTTTTTCTATTCATCTAATGTTGAACAATTTTTCTTTTAAGCCTTACAGGTTTGATTCTTATTTTATTGTACATATCCTCCTATTAATTTAGTATGTTGCCAGTTCGAGTGAAATCTCAATTCTGCAATGGGATTGCTCAATATAATCGATGTTCGCCAAATAGTGCATGTGCGTGTTTCCATATAGCAGGTGCTATTGACATTGGCATTTGTACGGATGAATTCGTCGACTGTTCTGACCTAACTCCATGCGAACACCCAAACAACATTTGTAGCGAATCTAATCATAGATGTGTTCATCATCCTCGATGTCATAATCATCCTGTTTGTTATCCGGTGCCAAGTTTCAATCGACAACTCTGTCCACTGATAGCAAGTAAGAAAACAAACAGTGCTCTACAGATTCAAGTGAAAGCCGAATCTTTCTTAAAGTTATTTCTTCATGGTTCACACACCCTCACATATGCAATTTATGTTGGTGTAGAAGTAGTGGAAAAGAGTTGAAGAGCATTTGAAAAATTAGATAAAGCATGACAGAGAGAAAACGAATTGTAATCA